GGTGGGGAGAACTTCCCAACCCAACTCCATAATCCTGTGTTGCATCAAACGTGCCACATGTGGATGTGCATTGTCGTGGAGAAGAAGAACACCTTTTTGATTGACGAGTGAAAGGCATTTCTGATGAATGTATTGATTTAAACGTTCTACTTGCTGACTATAGATCTCTGCATTGACAGTTCGCTGTGGACCGAGAAGTTCGAAATGAATTACTCCTTTGATGTCCCACCAAATGCAATGCATCACTTTCTGCGGATGGAGTCCATGTTTTGGGGTCGGAAGTGGTTTTTGTCTTGGACTGAGACATTGTTTTTGACGTTTAATATTAGCATGGAAGATCCATTTTTCATCACCGGTGACAATTCTGTCCAAAAATGATTCACGCGCATTACGCGCCAGAAGAGACGAAGCAGCGTTCACATGTTGGAAACGATGATCAATGGAAAGTTCGTGAGGCACCCAAACACCTTATTTATAAAGTTTTCCCATATACCTTAGATGTTTATGTATTGTTTCATGAGAGACGTGTAATTTCAGGGCCATTTCACTAGTGTGTGTTAGACTCAACAAGCGTCATCAGAGCATCAGTATCAATTCCAACATGTCGGCCTCTGCAATCACAGTTTTTAATGCTAAACTCACCTGAACTAAATTTGCTGAACCACCGTAGACACTTACAAACGTTCAAAATATTTCCATAAACTTCTTTGATATTCTTTGTGGCTACAGAGGCGTTGTTTCCCTTCTTGTTTTCAAACAGCATTACATGCCGAATGTGTGTCTCGTCGTGTGCTATCACTATCAGAGATTAGAATATACTAAACTTTACACAATATATAAGCTATACTAACGTGACGTTTAGGCGGTTCGGTTACCTATTATACATGATGTAAGTTGTTTTTTTTGGGGGGGGGGGTTAATGAAAGTGTTTCAAAACGCAACATTAATTTCTTGACGACCTAATATTTATATTAAAAACAGCTGAAACGAGGAAGTTTGAAAATATATTTAAAGATAAATTACCCTTGTCATTGTTTTAATTTCTTCGATGTTATTATTATGATGTACGTTTACAAGACGTGCTGTGTAACGTAATAATTTTTTTATCCATGTAAACGTGCGTGTGTTTTGATATTTTAATGACAAAGAAAATAAATTATAGAAATAAGATGTAAGAGAAATGTCCATATTTTTGTTCTATTTAATTAGTAATAAACTATTTCAGATTAAATGTATGTTTCTTTTTTTTATGTTCAAAGTTTGAGCAGCTTTACGTAGAGGTTTTATATACCATCAAGCACAAACTTGGAGCAAGCAGTGGGAATTATGATGCCTATGCTGGCGACCTCTATGATTATGCCCAAGAAGCTTTCGGAATGTCTTCCGATAATCATCGGCGGCTGCTTGCAGTTGCTCAAGAAGAAAAGGTAAAACAGTAGGAAAAATACTAGTTTGAAATATAACCTCGTGCCATGGATTCATTTTTCTTTTAGATTAACTACTAAAGAACACGCATGTAAAAGGTTTAACACTCTATGCATAGATGTTTTGCATAATTAGTTGGTAGTCCACAAGGTGGCTAGCAGAGTCTAAAGATGTATTTTCGATTGAAGAATACTACATAAAGGGTGATTACGAAAATTGGTGTTTCAATAAACAAAACCCAAGCTACCTTATGACTAATAATAACGTCTTTGTTTCAATATGGAAACTCCAGACTACCTTATAAATAATAGTAATAATTACGTGTTTCAATATACGAGACCCAAGCTACCTTATAGCTAATAATAACGTCTTTGTTTCAATATGGAAACTTCAGACTACCTTATAAATAATAGTAATAATTATGTGTTTCAATATACGAGACCCAAGCTACTTTATAGCTAATAGTAATATCTGTTTGTGTTTCATTATACGAAACCTAAGCCTTTTTACAACTAATACTAATAAGTATATGTTTAAACGAAACTTCATAGTTAATAGCTCCCAGTTTGCCCCTGAAAGAAGAAAGGTCCACCTTTCGAAAGCGCTCGGGTTATAGGGTTTTTATTAATTTCTATCATAGTTAATAATAATATTTTTGTGTTTCAGTATATCAGACCCAGGCTACTTTATAGCTAACGATATTTTTGTTTCAATATACGAGACCCAAGCTACCTTCTAGCTAATAGTAATATTTTTGTTTCAATATACGAGACCCAGGCTACCTTATAGCTAATAATATTTTGTGTTTCAATATACGAGACCCAAGCTACTTTATAGCTAATAGTAATATTTCATGTTTCAATATATGAAACTCAAGCTACTTTATAGCTAATAGTAATATTTCATGTTTCAATATACGAGACCCGAGCTACTTTATAGCTAACATTAATATTTTTGTGTTTTAGTATGCGATGACCTAATCTATCTTATATAGTTATTTCAGACCAAAAGCTACTTTATAGCTAACATTATTACTTTTGTTTTTCATTTTCAGCCACCTATACCAGTTTTGAACGTGGTTGTTGTGGAAGCTATAGACCTAGAAGCTAAAGACTCAGACGGTACGTTACAATTAAGAAGTATTTGAGGAAGTTAAGCGTCTATCTTTGTAACATAAAATGTAACACCGATTGTTGAAGTGTTATCGTAAAGGTTGCGATAAGGCAGTTAATCACCTGAGCTAAGAACTACAAACCATCAACAATATATATAACCTGAAGCGTAGTTTGACGCTTTTCACCAACGGATAAGTTAGGCCTACTACTGTACGGGAGTTTAGAATGGCATTATATGGGTTGTGACACAGTTCGGATGTGGTGGAGGATTTCTTAAGTTTGTTAACTAATCCAGCTTGTAATGTATGAAATCAGCTTTCGTCGTTTTGACAAACATGTAATTTGTGGAAAAAGCAATCTTTATAATTTAATTCCATACAGCTTTGAAGTAATGAATTCAAACAAAAGTAGCAGCATAAATACCTATTATTTATGTGTTCGTCTTAGGCTCTAACGGCTTTCATAGAGTAACAAAGTTCTCTCTCTCCATTCTAGTTTGTAAAATTTGTTCTGTGTTTGATTTCACCAATACTGTCCCCCAGTGGCACATCGGTATGTCTGCAGATTTACAACGATAGAATCAGGGTTTCGATACCCATGGTGGTTAGAGCACAGATAGCCCATTGTGTAGCTTTGTGCTTAACTACAAACAAACAATTCACCAATATTCATAATGATGTGGCTTTCCAAAGAAGGCGGAAATGCAAACTCGTGTTTCAGGGACATATCATGAACCATGATAATGGTTCATGATAGGGATCGCAAGGAATAACACAAAACCCTATTAGAACGTTCGGTCAAAAACACCTTAAACAGTATATGAAGATTCAGTTCAAACAACACTTTAAAACCTTTACTATTGACTGCTAAGGCTGTACATATATAAAAAAGCACGCAAGGAAAATAAAATCCTCTTAAAACGGTTCGTTTGTAATTCTTGTTATTATTATAATGAACCACGACAGTGGTTCATAATAGGGATCGTTCAGGCAAAAAGCACCTTAAAGAGTAAATATTCCTTTGAAACAACATTTTAAAACCTTTACTACTGACTGCTAAGGCTGTACACTTATAAAAATGCACACAAAAAAACACGCATGTTAGGCTTACAAGGAAAATAAAATCCGCTCAAAACGCCCGTTTGTAATTCTTCTTATTCTTCTCTTGCCAGCCTACAACAACAACTTGGTATATTGCACCCAAACCTTTTGTAGAATACCGGATAAGGTTCTTCGAAGGCGTGGGGGTATTGAAAAGTTTATTTGTTTCTTTTATATTTCACATAAGCTAAAAAACATCGTAATTCTAGTGTAAACAATGTTATCATTACCCATTGAAGTTAGCTTTTTCACATATATCTAGTGTATCTTTAAAAGGCTTAAGTACAGGGTGAAACAGGAATCACCAGCTAATAGTAGATGAACGTTAGATGACTGTAACATGTAGATACTCAATGCTTTGTACACTATACAATCGGTGTCTCTAGGGAGCCAACCACTATATTATGTGTGAAGTGAATAAATAAAAAAATCAATAAACATAGTAATGAATTTTACAAGATAGGTAAAAAATTGGGAATTTAAAAATTGTAAATAGGTATTGTAAAAAGGGTAAGGAAACAAGGGTGGAGATACTGTAGACATTATTTACTCAAACTACATACCACTATTTTGAATCCACCAAATGTAATTCTAGGTAACAGCATGGAGCTACAGCTATGTTGTTGGCAATTCAAGGAGTTCAACCTTATGACTTGTAACTTAGGGAACACAGTTATATAGCTTGTAACTCGGAAATTACAGCTCTGTTAATTGTAACTCAGAGAGTTCATCTCTAGTAGTTAGTAGTAACCCAAGGATTACAGCTTCGTGACTTGTAACTCGGAGAGTAAAGCTGTGTTAATTATAAGTCAACGAGCACAACTTTAATATTTGTAACTCAGGGAGTCTAGTTCTGTTACTTGTAACTCAGTAGATATAATTCTGTTACTTGTAACTCAGGAGATATAATTCTGTTACTGGTTCCTCAAGGTCTACACCCTTGTGACTTGTAACTCGGAGAGTGCAGCTGTTTTACTTGTAACTCAAAGATTACAACTTTGAAACATGTAACTCAGAGAACACAGTTCTGTCACTTGTAACTCGGAGAGTTCAGGTCTATTACTCGTAATTCGAAGAGCGAAGCCTTATGTCATTGTAACTCAGAGATTTCATTACTGTTACTCGTAACTAAATGCGTGTAGTTTTTTATTTATTTTGTAACGCAAAAGTACAGCTTTATCACTTGTAATTCAGGGAGTACAGATCTGTTACTGAGAAAACAGTGAATACAACTTTATGACTGTATCTGAGGAAGTTACAGCTGTGTTAATATTAGCTCAAAAAACAGCCTTGTGACTTGTAACTCAGGTAGTATAGCTCTTTTAGTGGTAACTCAAAGAGTACAGCTTTATCATTTGTAACTCAGCGAGTACATCTTTATTAATTGTATCTCAAGAAGCACAGCTTTATCATTTGTAACTCAGCGAGTACATCTTTATTAATTGTATCTCAAGAAGCACAGCTTTATAATTTGTATCTCAAGAAGCACAGCTTTATCATTTGTAACTTCTGTACTCTTTGAGTTACCATTAATAAAGGTGTACTCGCTCTTTATCATTTGTAACTCAGCGAGTACATCTTTATTAATTGTACCTCAAGAAGCACAGCTTTATCATTTGTAACTCAGCGAGTACATCTTTATTAATGGTAACTGAAAGAGTACAGCTTTATCATTTGTAACTCAGTGAGTACACCTTTATTAATTGTACCTCAAGAAGCACAGCTTTACGGCTTGTAACACAAGTAGTGCAACTATGTTACTTGTATCTCAAGGAACACAGCTTTATCAATGGTAATTCCAGGAGTACAATTGTAACGCTTGTACAACAGATAATACATATTTAGTACTTGCCACTCATGGGATGGAGCCCTATCATTTGTAACTGAGAACGTACAACTCTCTCTGTTACAAGTAACTCAATAAATGCTCCTTCATTTCTTGTATTGCAAGATGTGCGTCAGCCCTTGTAAATTATGTTAAACTGAGGTTAATCGTACTTTACAGGATAACATTCCACGTGCTGGTGTTAATCGTACTTTACGTGGATAACATTCCACGTGCTGGTGTTAATCGTACTTTACATGAATAACATTTCACGTGCTGGTGTCAATCGTACTTTACAAGGATAACATTCCACGTGCTGGTGTTAATCGTACTTTACAAGGATAACATTCCACGTGCTGATGTTAATCGTACTTTATAGGATAACATTCCACGTGCTGATGTTAATCGTACTTTACAAGAATAACATTCCACGTGCTGGTGTTAATCGTACTTTACAAGGATAACATTCCACGTGCTGGTGTTAATCGTGCTTTACAAGGATAACATTCCACGTGCTGTGCTACTTTCGAACAGACTATGCTGAGTTTAATAGCCATGATTACGTATTTATTATCGACATCGCATTTTACATTGTAAAAAAATATCTCTAATAAGAATGATAACAACAATCTTGGGCTGGGCATGGCCACGTGGTTAGGGCGCTCGATTCGCAATCTGCGGGTCGCGGGTTCGAATCCCCATCACACTAAACATGCTTGCCCCTTTCAGCCGTGGTGGCGTTATAATGTGACTGTCAATCCCACTATTCGTTGGTAAAAGAGTAGCCCAAGAGTTGGCGATGGGTAGTGATGACTAGCTGCCTTCCTTTTAGTCTTACATTGCTAAATTAGGGACGGCTAGCGCAGATAGCCCTCGTGTAGCTTTGCGCGAAATTCATAACAAACAAACAAGAGCAATCTTAGGACCATAAGTTTTGAGAAACTCTCCACAGTTCCTCCAGTTATGTGGAGGTAGACTTTAATGACCACAGACACAAAAACCAACAGGATCTGCAGTAGGAAACTTCATGGGTGTGTGGTTGAATAGGACGGCTAAAATTACAGTTTCTTCAGCCATCTTTCTAACGAAAACAACTGTTGGCTTTAAATTGAGAGTGGAATATCCCACTTTAGGACTACGAGTCTTCATCGGCCTCAAATATTTATTTAAAATGTTGTCAATGGTACCAGGAGATAGGCCTAAATTTATTAGTTGTTTTTTTTTTATGGATCTTAAGAATCTCTTTCGTAACTATACGCCCCCTCTCCCAGTGGCACAGCGGTATGTCTGCGGAGTTACAACGCTAGAAACCAGGCTTCGATACCAGTGGTGGGCAGAGCAAAGATTGAGCAGCTTTGTGCTTAATTCCAAACAAACAAACAAATCGTAACCATATTCTTTAACTTACGGTTAAGAGTTTTTGCTTTTTGCTGCTGGCCACCCAGTGGCACAGCGATTTTGTTTAATGTATGAAGATTTAAAGGTTCTTAGGACCATCACATTATGAGAAAAGAGTGAGCTATTATTGCACAAATCACCTCTACTCATGAATAGTTTCTCACTTTTTATGCCCCCCAATGGCACAGCGATATGTCTGCGGACTAATAACCCTAGAAACCGGGTTTTGATACCCGTGGTGGGCAGAGCACAGATAGCTCATTGTGTAGCTTTGTGCTTAACTTAAAAACAAACAAACAAACATTCCTACTGCTGTCCTAAATGCTATACAGTCTAAGAACATTGAAAACTACCTTCTTTCAGAGTGTTGTATTGTATGGCTGTACTTTGTATAAGAAATTCACTGTATGAGTCCTGCTCTTTGGAAAAGCTGTTACATAATCATTCAGTTATAAGTCTATCAATGGCAGCAATGAGGTGTAAGATTTTCAGGAGTTTGTTATGAAGTAAATATATAACTGCTAAACTTGTCGTCTATAACGTAGATGTGTGTAGTTCCACGTGTTATTTACTTCTGTTGTAGATGTGTGTAGGAGTTTGTTATGAAGTAAATATATAACTGCTAAACTTGTCGTCTATAACGTAGGTGTGTGTAGTTCCACGTGTTATTTACTTCTGTTGTAGGTCTGTGTAGTTCCACGAGTTATTTGTTTCTGTTGTGGGTAGGTGTAGTTCCACGTGTTATTTACTTCTGTTGTAGGTCTGTGTAGTTCCATGTGTTATTTACTTCTGTTGTAGGTGTGTGTAGTTCCACATGTTATTTACTTCTGTTGTAGGTGTGTGTAGTTCCACGAGTTATTTGTTTCTGTTGTAGGTGTGTGTAGTTCCACGTATTATTTACTTCTGTTGTAGGTCTGTGTAGTTCCACGAGTTATTTACTTCTGTTGTAGGTGTGTGTAGTTCCACGAGTTATTTGTTTCTGTTGTAGGTGTGTGTAGTTCCACGTATTATTTACTTCTGTTGTAGGTCTGTGTAGTTCCACG